TATGATAGTTTCTTGCAATACAACACACAAATAGCGAGTAGGTAAGAAAAATCAAAACAGAAAAATCAACGTTAAGACCAAAGTACCTAGCAAAGTGGGCCACAATCCTCTGTACAAAGTGAGAATTCCTCCTTCATTTATTGTTTTTATGAAGACCTTAAAAAGAACTCAGAAAATCGAGATCTCTCACCTCACAACATTATAAGTGAAAGAGAATGTGTTCTGACATCTAATGAAGACTCAAGGTCTGGCTACTAAACAAGTTCATATATGGGTGGATGTTTTGGAACGCTTCGAAGTCACAGCTCTTTTCTGTACACTTCTGGGCGTTTCGCCTTCGCGAGAGCTTGAAAAATAGAGAAGGCAGAGATTCCCCTTACCCCGCGCCCTGAATATTCCCTGAATGTTCCATAAGGGAACCATGCTTCATCTTGACCTCCGCCGCCGGGAAGTGAGATCGATCACTCAATCAATCACTGAGTGGCTGTACGTTGAGTGATCAATTTCTCTTCCATTCATCCATCTCACAAGCCGAAAATCGGAGAAGCGGAAAAAGGATTCGAGATCACGATCTATTCTTGTCAAGCCTTTGAGCGCTTTTCATTCAGTGGGAGGAGGAGGAGGATGGGAGGAGCATTTTACATTTTATCTACTTCCCAGCGTTGTTACTAGCCATCAAAGATCATCTTGTCAAGCTATAAAGTGATACCACTCAAAATTTTTAGAGGCCACCCGTCAGCTCCTACAAAAAAGAGTCAGTTCTTGAAACAATAAACACGACTTCTGGAAGTAAAGAAAGCTCTGAATGACCCTCTCCATCCCAGAGCTTGTTACTTTTTCGTGGGACTAGGGCATCCCCATGGTTCTGGATATGATAAAAGCGAAACAGAGCTCGAGTTAATGATTCTCATTTATGATTTTCAATAACCTGTGGGCGAAGAGGACACCCGCTTGAAAAAGATAACTTTAGCGCTAAGACAGCGAGAACAAAAGGAAGAGAGTGAGACCACGCTCCCCCCCCCTCCCCCTCCCCCCCCCCTCCGATCCGCGCCTTTCCCGGACTATGCGGGTTCTATTTTGCTACTCCTCGTCTCAGCGACAACTTAAGGTGGTGAGCCTCCAGCACCTTTTCGTTAGTCATAACGACTGATGGCCTACTACTCCAGAAAGCCTGTCAGGGATGTTTATTCAGGACTGGTCAGACAATAAGAGACAAACTCCGCGACTTCAAGTCACATTTGGTGAGGTCCCATCCCACCACGAGTTTTCATAGGCTATATGACTTACCAGTGGATAAGGGCGACGCAACAGCCGAAAATTTCTTAAAGAAGATTTCTGCATCAAATCAGCATTCGAAGAGAGAAGGCACTGTGGGCGCAAATCAGGAGAGTAGGGACAAGTGTGGGATTACACAGAAAGGTGAATCGTCAGACGCGGTGCTTAACGCCTCTAGTCGCTATCAAGCCGCACTCTATGAATGAGGGCTGGATATTACTTGTACGAGGTATGGGCTCCTATGCATCAGGTTATCACGGAATGTGTTCTTGAGAAGTTAAATCTATATGGCTTCTCGATTTTTCAAGCTCTTACGAAGCGAGAGTTCGGAAAGGGCGCAGAACAAAACGCTGTAGTCTTTTCTGGTTCGAGTGAACCATTCACTTGAATCAGACAAGTCAAGATTATGAGAATCTATTCTGAACTACCACGCACAGAATTGGAGAAGGAATTACCGAAGCCAATGTAGCGTACTCCTTTTTAGTTGATATTGATAACCGAGCCTTTGCGGTGTCCAATGGATATGTAAAGAAAACCGCTGTAGCACCTGCCATTGAGCCAACAACACAACGACGTCCGGGAGTTCTTTTGCTAAAATGGTGTGCTAACCCAAGTGTAGTGAGGCATTAGCAAAAAAGACCACTGAAATTGGAAGGAACGTTGAAATGCATCCCCATGAAGAAATACCCACAAATTCGGAACACTTAACGATTATACCTTCACCCAGAGCCTGATTCGAGAAATTTTATTTTAAATAACAAAACCACCCCCATAAAAATCTAAGACCGTCGGATGTTTATAGGACTTACCCGTTCTCATCCACATGCAGCCAATGTCGATACTGCTCAAAAGCAGCAAACTGTATTGCAGCATAAGGCATGACGCGAACCATAGTGGCAGAGTTACCGCGGAATAAAGCGAAAAATCCGTGTTCACGATATGTTAGAATGACGAATTTCAAGGCAGATTTGAACGAGTATCCCCGAGTTGTCGACACTGAAAACAAACGAAAATGTTAGGAAGAACAACCGTACTTCACCATCTTCGAACAAGATGGGTTTCAAGTTGAGTACGCCCGGACCCATCACGAGCCACGGACATGGACTGTGCCAACCCCGCTACGTTACTTGAATTACCCTGATTGTAAAAAAAACGATACAGATATAGTACCCATAGGCACGTACTTCTTCACACCTACCATACATGAAAAAAGCTTTACATTCAGAGATCACTAAGAAGACGGAGTATTTTTTTGAACAAACCTTGAAAGTAGATCTTTGTCCGATCGAGAGGGGCTATGGTGGTCTTGGCCACAGCTCCGGCAATCGCTCCACCGACTAAAGATGATGCAATAGTCGGTCGATCCTGTAAACGAATCACATTTTTTCTG